TGATGGGTTTCCCAGGCGTCACGTTGATACTATTTTGCCGCCTTTCCCTTTCGATGGCATTGAGTCGGATGAGGAAGATAACGTTAATGTGCAACAGGTAAACTACAAACATGTATCCGCATTGCAGAACAGATCTGACTATTTGGTCAGGCTTTATTGGACTACTATACATCGCGGACTGCTTCTGCTCGAGCCTCTTCCTCGTGGTCTTCAACGTTGCGGGCGACGCTCCATCGTCAGGATCCGACTTCTCGTGTGGAATCTCGCTCGTCTTCCGAACAACACGAGTCTCGCAGGCCACGACCTGGACATTCAATGGTATATCCGCCTGACGACAATGAGACGCGTCGTAACAGTGACCGAATACCCGGCCTTCATGAGTTCTTGTCTCGTCGTCCTCGCATTGCTGCCTCGCGAATCGAAGACTTTATGGATCCCCCAGCATCTTCTCATACAGCCGCGCCGTCGGGTCGTGACAACGGTTTTACTGACGCAATTGACGTCCTGCGGCAAGATGGACTCAGCCGAATGCGATCTCAGCAGTTAATTTCCGCGTATCATCGGGAGCGTAACGACAGTAGTTCTGCCGACCCGCTAGCTGCCTATGGCCGCTTGAACTCCCTTTTAATGGAAAGGGGTGCTCGTGAACGCAGTTCTCGTGGCAGTGGTAGGAGTGACCGCGACACTCCCGCATCAAGACAAAGTGGTATGTCCCCATATCGTAGCCGTCAGCTCGCTGCTGCATCCTCTTCTAATGCAGATGCCCTCGAGGCCACTGCAAGGCGGCTTCGGCTTCGTCGCTCATATCTGCCTCGCAGAACGTTCCTGGGTGATTATGTTGTACGTGACTGCTTGCCCCATTGCTCTGTCTAATCTAAATGATGGTACAGCGCGATGAAGATTTCGATCAAAGCTATGAAGGTCTTTTACGATTGAGCGCTGCCCTTGGTGAAGCCAGACCGCTTGGTATCCCTGAAGAGACGATATCTGGCATGGAATATGCTAAGTACAAGGATTGGGCTAATGCGGATAGCGACACTCGTTGCCCTATTTGTCTTGATGATGTACGTGAGGCTCATAGTCATGAGATGGTGTGCTTAATTATTTTCCTCCCCTTCGTCTTGCAGTACAACTCTACAGACATGGTTATGAAGCTCCCGGACTGTCCTCATTGGCTTCACAAAGAATGCCTACATGTAGGATGGTGTCTTATTCGTACCGACCTGATCCTCATTAATTTGTGTGATACTCTAGCAATGGCTCAAAGGTGCCAACACATGTCCGGTGTGTAGAAAGGCCGTCCAACGTCCGGTTCGAAGGGAGTCTGCGGCGCAACCTCTCCCAAGGCGTGAACCACCTTCACAACCTAGGCGTCATATTCAGACTGCCAGTGCTTTCCGTGACCTAGGTTACATACCGCCTCACGTCATCCGACCGCCCAGTACCTCTGCTTCTGGCCTTCGTGTCCCCGATCCTTCTCCTCCCCGCTACCCTCAGCCCGAAATGTACGGACCATGGGAGCTGTTTGGGCCTTCCAATCCTTCGTCCGGTTCACGACGCCGTCGACCAAACACCGTAAGACCAGGTCGCCGCACCTCCTCCAGACTGGACCGCCATGAGACTACATTTGATGAATTCTCAGGTTCAAGCGCTTCGTCTTTGACAAGAGAAGACGAAGATGATGCAGACTGGTCCTACGATTGGGCAGACACTGATCCTACCGTGTGGTGACTTGCCTGTTAATCCTGTGAATAGACTGTGCTCCGCGAACTCAAGTATGTTCTATAATTTCCCATGTCACTTGTCTGGATGCTGTAGCCTACTTTGTACGATATTCCGAAGTCGGACAGTCTTCGATGAATGCTATGCCCTTGAATAATTTCCTCCATTGAGCGCGGGGCGACTATATCCTCGCCAAAACTACGATCCTCGAACGCCTCAATTGTTTTAACTTCGTTGGAGATGTTCATACGTATAGTCGGTGAGTCCATCTACATTCACGGAGTGATACGGACTTCGTACTCACACATTCAACGCTTCGCCGAATGATCGCTCCACGAATACCACTGAATACCAACACAAGGACTCATCTTGACTATATGGAGGATGTGTATGCAAGGTCAAAATCTTTCAATTTCATGCGACAACTCCAGGCTACGGTGACGATGCACCGCACATCAGGTTCCTGTATACCTTATGTGTGCGAGCAGGGAAGCGTGCAGTCTCTAATAGGTGGGTTTATAGGTGGGTTTCTGGGCTATGATGAAAGCGTAAGCATCAGCAGCGTAGGTAAGGTAGGGGTAGGCCGTAGGCAGACGTTCAAAGAGACCCAGACCCACTCCATCCTCTTTATAATGGTAAGGGTGAAATCGGGTCCCGCGACCCTGCTCGCTGTTATGAGGGTATAATTGAAGCACTAGTAGGCTTCTGACCTTTCTGTCGTTGGCCCGGACTTCTACTTGGTTTGACTCGGAAAGGATTCGCTCAAAAAATGTCCCAGCTCCCTACAGTCGCTCTGGCTTTGTTTGTTGGAATATTAACGTCGTGGGTGTTCTGGGGAATCTATAAACATAGTCGGCGGAGAGCAAATTCTCCCTGCCCTCCTGGTCCCAAGGTACGTGGATATCCGTTTGGTGAATCAACATCGTTTGTTGAAGCGTGGTTTTGGCAAAGGGCTATCCTATCGTTGGGAACATTGATACCCCCATCGAATACACGTGGGTGAAGTTTGCGCAATGGACGAAAGAATATGGTAACTACGTTCACCAGTCCGACGTATGTTTGTTTATGAGCCACAATTGCCAGGGGATGTTTTTTCTCTCAACATTTTCGGCAAGAATATCATCGTCATCGGATCCTATGAGGTACATATGACACAGACGAATATTATCTCACCAGTGTTTCCAGACGTGTAACTAAAGACATCGTCTCTTAGGCAGCCGCGGACCTGTTTGACAAAAGATCCTGGATTTATTCGTCTAGAATTAATTTTCCAATGATTAGGGACCTGCAAGTGCCAAATGGAAAGAAATGCGTTGTCGGCTCACGATTTTATAGAATGGGCTATTCGTGGAGTGTTGTATTCATGCCTTACGGAGAACGGTGGACGTGAGTTCACATGTCTACTGTTTTGTGTAGGCGCTGAATGCATATCACTGATCTTATTTGACTACAGGCGCACTCGACAACTCTTTTTGACATATTTCCACCAACGTAACATACCATCGTATCATCCCACATTGACACGTGAAACGCATGCGCTTCTGCGACGTCTGACAGAGACACCAGAGGACTTTTTTGAGCATTGCAGGCTGTAAGAAGTATGGAAACCTTCACCGTGCATACAATTAACCCTGCCTTACAGTATGTTCGCATCGACAATCCTTGACCTGGCCTACGGCTTGAAGGCGTCGGGACGCTATGATCCTATAATCGTCAATGGGGAGAAAGTGCTAAAGACGATCGGAGAAGCAGCTGTTCCGGGTCGATTTTGGGTCGATTTCATGCCGTTTTGTAAGTTCGCTCTGTCGACAGCTTTTCCGTAGATGATATCATCTTTCAATTAGTACAATATTTGCCCAGTTGGTTTCCTTGGCTCGAATTCCGGGAAAAGGCAAAGCTGTGGCGTCCTTATGGCGACATATTCCTGCATAGACCTTGGGAAATCGTCAAACAGCGGGTGGTGAGTTTTCTCGGCACACATGCATACCGACAAAGGGTCTAGCTCTTTTTCCAGGCGGAAGGGACCGCAAGGCCGTGTTTCACGACACAGCTGATGCAGGAATTGGATACGGACTCCAACCCCGTTGTAGAACTAGCTTATGCGAAACCGGTCGCAGCGATAGCATATGCAGGTAAGTGAAGTTCCAATGGTCTAATTGTCGAGTTATCATTGCACTGTCAAACGCAGGAGGATCAGATACGGTGAGAGTTCCGCAGTCAATCCAAATGAAGAGATACTGAACATTCACAGACCGTGGCAACGACACAATCCCTGTTTTTGGCTATGTGCCTCTACCCCGAGGTACAGTGCAAAGCACAGGAGGAGTTGGATCGCGTCGTAGGCCCTCATCGACTCCCGGAATTCAGTGACTGGAAAAATCTCCCTTATATGGAGGCTTTTATCAAAGGTACTTCGCTAACTAAATGTTGGCAAAGCATGTTGACGACCGTGATATGCAGAAGCATTACGATGGATGCCCGTTCTTCCCCTGGGTATGCAGAAGCGAAAGACAGCTACAATCAGTCTCTCACAAAGTCCACAGCCATGCCGCACATGAATACGGAAGATGATGTGTTTCGTGGCTATTTTATACCCAAAGGATCGCTCATCATCGGAAATAGCTGGTTGGTTGATATTTGGTGCATGTTGAGCGACCTTACCAAGCACTCATTATCTGTAGGGGTATACTTCATGACGAGGAGGTTTATGGATCCGCCACAGATGCCTTCCGGCCTGAACGATTTTTGAATGCAGATGGGACTGCCAACGAAAGGGTTCCTTATCCTAATGTTGCTTTCGGATTTGGGCGTCGGTGCGTACCCCATGATTTCTGGCGTACAATTTCTCTCAATCTCTCGCAGAATCTGTCCAGGACGGTGGCTGAGCGATGCTTCACTGTTCATCACTTTCTCATCCATCCTTCATGCATTCAATATTAGCTCACCAGTCGATGAAAATGGGAACAAAATCAAGTTGCAAGCACGACAGGGTCCAACTCTGCTTTCGTGAGCGTTGTTGGTTATCAATTCGCGCTCTGTGTATACTGACAACGACTCAGGGAACCCATTAAATTCAGGTGTATCATCAAACCTCGGTCCGAAATTCATGCAAGTCTAGTAATGAATACTGCGTTGGCAGATTTCGATGCATGAACGAACGACAAACCTCATAGCGTACGCCACATGTACCTTGTGTTGTTTGCTTTGAGTCACAAAAATAAGTACATTGATTTCAAGGAGGCTTATTAAAAAGAACAACTGTCCATGTTGAGCAAAGCAGGTGGTACCAGGGTTCGAACCTGGGTTTCAGGAAATACTCTTCAAAATCCTGAGTGATAACCACTACACTATACCACCCCATGTATAAGGGCCTAATTGTGTTTACGTCAGTTGTTCATAGTAATTACACATTGATAATTCAACACGTGCAAAAAACATGTACTATATACATATTTGTCCTCAGAATCTCTTTGCTGAGAAATGCGATAATCAACCTCAATCATGGAACAGCCTAGACTGTCTTGCGCGCCATCGATGTATAAGCAATGACGGAGTGACTCGGATGACTCGGGCGGCTATAAATCTCGTTCATCATTGTCTTAGTCTACTGTACTCACCGTAAAGCGTCCCATCTTCTTCTGCAATGCCTCTAGCGAAACCAATCAACCTCCCAAAATGGATACAAGAAAACAAGTCCCTACTTCAACCCCCGGTCAACAATTACTGTGTGTACAAAGGCGGCGATTACATAGTCATGGTCGTCGGGGGACCCAATGAACGAAGAGACTATCATGTCAATGAGACTGAAGTACGAACTCTTTCGCTGCACCTGTACACTCTTGCTGGAGAAAGTTTAACAGGAATGGTTTTATCAATACAAAGGGGCTATGCTTTTGAAGGTCGTTGATGAAGGCCAGTTCAGAGACATACCGATCGGAGAGGGGGAAATGTTCTTGTTGCCAGGCGCGTGCCCAATTGTTCACTCAGAAAACATCTCATCTCCCAATTTAGCAAACATGCCTCACAATCCGGTCCGTTTTGCCAACACCGTAGGCATAGTTGTGGAGAGGGAGCGACCAGAAGGCTCACTGGGTGCGTGTGATGATCGAAACCTACATCAATTTTGGAGATTTAAAAAGAATAACAGATCGACTGCGGTGGTACTGTCATTCGGGAAACCATGCAGACCCAACCATCGTATATGAGGAATCATTTCACGTAACCGATCTCGGAACCCAGCTCAAGCCTGTTATTCAGAGGTGGATGGCTAAGGAGGGGATCAGGACGTGCAAAGGATGCGGTGTGGTTGCCGATGCGAAATAGGCCAAGCGCATGAACGCGTCTGCTCAGATGCAGATCGCGACTTAAGAGGAACATCAGAATTTTCAACGACGTTATGCAGATGTTGAAACATTCACGACTATATTCAATGCTAAGCCTCAATATTATCATGCAATCTTGACGGTCTATAAAGCGAATACGCAATTAATGTCAGTTCTCAGCTCAGCAGTCGCGAACTCACTTTAGCGTATAAGGATTCTACCACTTTGCCGACTTGTTCCAGAGTTTCGATAGCTGTTGCGTAAGATGTCTGAAAGACCAAGTGAGATTTTGTACTGTGCACAATGCTATCGCCGAAGACATACATCGGTCTCTGGCTCATCATATATCAGCAAGCATCCCCGACCTTGATCGAGGACGCCATGGAAGACTTTGTCCAAAATCATTTGTGACAATCTGCCAGCACGTTATGTTGATACGAGCATTTCTCGTAAATTGGCGACTCACTTGTTCTCGACGCCCACGCGACCCTGGCCGACTTGCTGGGCTATGTAGTCAATCTCCACGATTTCGTAGGGTTCGATTATGCGAAGGAGATTCTGTTCGAAAAGAGTGTCGTAGAGCGCGGATAAATGCGAACGAATGGTAGAATCGGTTTGAAGTTCTGGATGATAATTTCGGATTTCTCCAGGTTTAATGCTCAGAAATTACTATACCTTGCCGGTAGTCCCGCAACGCCTTCTCGAAATCAGCCAAATTCCTCTCTTTGTGCGCCAGGGTAATGGCACGCATACTCTCAACGTCACGTGTGTTGGCATACTTCACTGCAAGCTTATGTGAAAGGAGAGGTGTCACGTCGTCTGCCTGGAGATATGGTATGACTGGAGGAACACTTATGAAAATTGAACAAAAATACCAGGTTCAACATGACTTTGCAAAGAAGCATGTATTTGAATGCACGAAGCGCATCCACCTCAACGTCAGCACTGCTGAAACCTTCGAAGGCTTCAAAGAAGTACGAGTACGCTGTTGTCCAGTCCTTATCCTCGGCATGCAGAATACCGGATTGGAGATCGAGCGATGCTTGCAACAGAGGTGGGCAGTATATTGAGTTGGCAGCGGTTCGTGACGATGTGAGGGCGGCCTAACAGACACAAAATGAGCAGACACATAGCCAACACACAAACAGACATGCCTTTGCTTTCGGAAAATTCCTGATACCCTGATACACCCTGCTCTCCAGAAGATGAACCTCAGTCAGAATCATCTTGTCGTCCAGACGCTTCAGCTCGGTCAGTAGCTCGTCAATCATCTTCAGCGCCGGCTTGAACTCCGATTGTTGAAGATACAAACCGACGAGGCGGATCTCTAACGAGTGCTTCAGGAAGATGCGCTTCTCGTTCTTTGCCCATGATATATTCTCCTGCAGGACGTTGATCTGCACGGGGAGCGAGTTGGGGATGGGGGAGAAGAAATCGAGGAGCGTTCGGATGAGTTTTGCGGTCTTGGCTTTCGCCGTCGATGACATGAAACCACGGGATAGCGTGATGAGTTGCGCCAGGCCATCGGCGTTTTTCTGGTCGCGGTAGAGCTCGCCGAGTTTGACGAGGGCAGCTTCCTTCTCTTTGTCGCCGCCCTCACTCATGAGTGTCGCCTTCAGTTCTTGCTCAGACATTTTCGATGCTCCCAGTGCTCAGCGACACAAAATAAAACAAAGACAGAAGCGCAGAGCACGACGGTGAATGTACTGGACAGTGGATAGGACGCGTGAGCCTCGACGCGTCATGCGATCGACGGTTTTATTGAATTTCTCCATCAGGATAACGCCGCGGATTGAGTCACACCTGTGGGTCCACACCAGCCCGAGCCCGCACAACAGCATCTGAATTCAGCAGAGTAATGTACTTCTGAGATTCTAATCGTCCGTGAAACCCCCAACCGACCGAATTCCTTCAACAAGCCTACGATATTCCTTCAATAGCTCGCCCACCTCCGCCAAACGCAGGTCGTCCGCAGAGCATTGCAAAAATCGCTCGTTGGGAGGTGCTAAACATAAGTCGGGATATGGATTTTGTGACGGAAGAGAAGTCTATGTGGATAATTTCGTTGATATGGGGATGCAAAAAGCTGAGTAGCAATGACACAAACCTTGGACGAATGACCGATGCCTAGTCCGCTACTCACACTGGCTAACCGGTCGCTCAAGCTCTTGCGTTGTGTCGGTTTCGGACGGGTGGAGGACTTGCGCGACCGTGAGCCACTACGACTAGCGCGGCTCATCATGCTCTCAAAGCTCTTGATACTCCGTGTGTCGTTGGCGAGCTCGTCGCCACTCTCATCACTTTCCTCATCGTCCTCGCCCTCTTCAGCATCGCTCTCGTCCTCAACGTCGCTTTCGTCTCGCGTTTCATCCAGGGCGCGCGACTTGCTGCTTCCGACGCTCACGCTGGTCATCTCCTCTTCTTTTTCGTCGCCCTTGACAGACCCTCCGCCTCCAATGCCAGGAATGGGTATTGAGAAGCGGCTGGCGTAGCTGGCCGTACTGTCGCGACGTAACATGTTCCACGACGGAGCTGGTCCGCCGTCGACTGTTCCACTATGTGGAGTCGGCGGCAGGAGATTGGTGCGCAGTATGCCAAACGAATCGACGACGCCAGTAAACACCTTGTTCGCGCTGCCTGCAAGTCCGCGTAATGTCTGTTGAGCGAGATGGGGCGTCAACGGAGGCGTCGTCGTTGGCGTGGGCGGTTTGGGCAAAGATATAGGTGTGGGCGTGCTAGGATGAGTGAGTCAATTTCTGTCAAATAATGTCAAGAAAAGCGATGCCATACCCGTGTCCATCAACCTTAGTACCGAGGGAGTGGGCCTCTAAATCAATCCCTTGAAGGTACTCGACTGCTGCGAGGTAATTAACAAGGCAAAAGGTCTCTTCCCCACTCATCAGCGCTTGACCGCGCCATCGTTGGATGTAAGAAAGATGCGATACCACATGCGGTGGATTCGCTTTGATAAGTGAGTATATAAGCAATGGGAGTAGTACATCAGACGATATGGGAGTAGCCGTCACGGACGTTGTCGACGGAGCAGGAGATGCTTCTCTCGATGGTGAGGGAGACACAGACACCTCAGCGGTCGACGTCGATGGGGAGGAAGGTCGTTCCTTCATCACGGAAGGATGCGATATACTGTCTGGAGAAGACGAGATGATGTTACCGCCAGGTTCCAAGATGACGGGAACCGGGAACGGAGAAGTCTGACGAGCTTTCTGCTGGGAAGATGATTTATCTGTATCCTTCCGTGTCTGTCGTCTTGACGAAGGCCGGGATTGCTGCAATTCTACCTCCATACCTTTGCTGGCAGCAGGTGGTTCAGGCTTTAGTTTGATAGGCGGGAGCTTCGACAATCCGTCTGTAACAGAAAAGTTTCAGAAAGAGGCCGGCGAAAACAAATGGCTTGATTGACCGATAATAAGCCGATGGGCTTCTACCAACACCTGGCATTTGTCCGCGGGAGCTGGCTCATACTCCAGTTTTCCCAAAGCTAATGACCATCAATAACCAAGGCTCGAGATACACGGAAAGAGAAAAAGACACACCATCACCAGCAGAGAAAACAACTTCCTGCATATCCCGTTTTCTGTTCTCGTTCTCTTGCTCTGCTGCCTCGTCATCGCTTAGATCAGAACTACCGACATCGACACCCAACTCGTCAAGTCCGAGATTGAGCATGTTGAGGGCAGCAACTCGTGACGAGAATGATTCGTCAAGATCATTCTGCAAGACATACAATCTAATTCGTTAAAACATGCATAAGACAACATGTCATGTGATATGAAGATACAATCTCACCCACCGGTGGTATAGCATGCGGCTAATGAAGCGTTCAATGTCGTTCATGATACGGGCCCATACTTCGTCGTCGTCATCATTTGTGGTGGCATCGCTCTCTATCTTCTCGTTGTCGGTTTGGGCAACCAGAAACGCTCGAACAGCATCTTCCATCTCCTTGTAAAAATCATTCAGATCTTCTAGTCTGCCCTCTTCAGGGGAATTGCCCTTCGACATGTCCATGCCAAG